TCTAGTCAATTGAATATTTTATCTCACAATTAAAATTGTAAAAACTCTTAACTTTAGATTGAATAATCAATTGATCAAAATTCAATTTGAGCAACATGGAAAATATAATTATGTAAGTTATTATATTTCTTTTCCAAACAACTTCATCATTCTCGGTTGTGGTTATTTTTTACTATCTCATGTAACCTTGATAGACATTGAGATGTATCTTTTACAAAACCTACGTTATATGTTTCTTTTGTTAATTTTTTATGCATCATATTGTAAAACTCTGATTTTGTAAAAGAAAATATTTTTGAAAATGGTTCTAAGGAAATAATCTATTCAACACCCCTTCTAGACCATTTAATTCTCATATTCTCCACCAATGCCCTCCACCACCAGAAGAAACAAAAAGGGATCCAAAGGGTCTCCTTCCTTCAAATCCTTTTGAATATTAATCTCTTACATTGGGCACCCATTCACCAAGAAAGAGAGGCTTCCTGAAAATTCACAAGCTCTAATTCAAGCTCTCCACCTACCATTAAACCCAATTTTTTGCATCATATAATTCAAGAACAACTGATTGATTTAGTCGTATGCCTTATCGAAATATACTCTGAACACAAAACACTCACTCTTTGACACCTTATCAAGATCTATAATCACATTAAGAGCAACCACATCATCAATAAGTTTTCTTCCTTTAACAAAGGTCGATTTCTCAAGGGAAATGAGATTCTACGTCACCCATGGCAGCCTAGCGGCCAAAACCTCAACCACTAGTTTATACAAAGAACCAAGCACATAAATGGGTCTAAAATCTCCCAAAACTAAAATGTACTCAACCTTCGGGATAAGAGAAACAAAATAAGACGTAAGACACTTTGATAAAGTGCATTACAAAATTGCATTAACAAACATCACATCAACCCCATCTTAATTAACCCCTTAAAATTCTTATAGAAAGAGTAATTGAAACCATTAGACTCCAGACTCTTGGACCCATCCATCCAATCAACCACTTCATCAACTTCAAAAGGCAAAAAGCTGACAGAAAAAGATTCAACCTCCGCTGGCGAACAAGGAAGGGATACCCATCAAGGGAAGGCCTAAACACCTCAAGGTCAACTACTCCTTAAAAAACCTAGAGATATCCCCGCTAACCTCAGAAACCTTGTCCAACCAAATATCTCTCACCCGTAAAGTAATCAAATCATTCCTCCTACTCTTCCGTTTAACACAAGTATGGAAGAATCCAATATTAGCATCCATCTCCTTCAGCCAAGCCAACCTGGACCTCTGGAAAACCTAGGAATCTCGACATGGAATAAGCCTCAATAACTCTTGATAAACAAGCGATCTACTTTCCAACTCCTTCCGAGAAAGATTCATAGACTCAACTCTCAACTCCAAAGACTTAAGTTTATCAAATCACAACTTAATCAAAGAATTCAAATTACCAAACACCTCTTTATTCCAGATCTTTAAGAACTCTTTTAAAGCTTTCAACTTATCCTTAAGCATGTACACCATTCATCCCTCATGAACCTCTATCCACCAAGAGTCTCTAACCACCAACTTAAATCTAAAATCTCCCAATAAAAAATAATTAAACTGAAAGGGCTTAAGACTCCAAAGCTTAGAGGGGTACTTAACCACAATCAAGCGATGATCTGAGACATCCTAGTGCGATGTCTACAAACTACCCTGACACCACTCCTCCTTCCACCCTGCCAATGACAAAACACGACGCAACCTACTCATAGAAATTCCATTACAATGAAACTAGATAAACCTTCTACCCAATAAGGGTAAATCCATCAACCCTATCGCCTCCATAAAAACTCCAAACTTAAGAGATTCCACCAAAGCCAACCCTGAGCCCTACTCACATGCCCTTTCTCTCGTAAGAACAAAGAACTACATTAAATTAGTCTGGAACACACGAAGCAGTTCATGAAAACTGCTCACGCACCCAAAACAAGATATCCTACATTACCCATTTCTCTGTCAAATAACATTTAACATAAAAATTTACTACAAAGGACCGAACAATTAAACCCCACTCAAGACAAACACACACAAAAACCAATTCAAAAAACGAAAAGTTCGTCTTTCCTTTCACATTTGTAATTATTTTCAAACTAATTTTATAATAACTTCGAACATTTCTAGCTAAGAAAATATCACTCATAGCATACTATTATTTTAAAGAATTGCCTTTGAATTCCTACTATTTAATATGCACTAAAAGTACACAACAAAAATTAGAGTTGAGATTTACTCTCTCTGTCTCATAATAAATATCTCATTCAAGATTTCTACGGTTCTTAAAAAAATAATTAAATATATTTATTTTAATAATAAAATTAATATCATTTATTAAAATATCCCTATTTATTATAGTTAATAAAATAGTTGAAAAAAATAAAAACTAATAAATAAGAATATAATTGTGTAAAAAAAATAAAAAAATATTATATTAATATTTTAAAGAGACATATAAATGTGATATCTATTATGAGAGAGATGAAGTAGTATGAATCTGGAAATAGATTTCAACATCGAATTGTCACATCCCATGGACATTATAAATTAATTTAATATCGTTTCCTTTTTCATTTCTGAATTGAAGTGGTTGTAACGGAAGAAAGAAAGAGGGGGACAAACAGCATATAATTAAGGAAGTAATAAAGATGAGAGGTGAAAGAAATGCAGTAGGTGAATAAATTCTCGGGCATATAATTTCATGTCGATGTTACTACTATATTCTTTTATTCTCAATTCATTTAAAACGATGAACAAATCTAGAAAACCGTGCATGCAAAAACCAAACTTCAACAAAAAAATATTATATAAAAAATGTGAAAGTATCAAATATCAAGTAGCACGTTAATCACCATAAAATTAATTAATGAGAATTTATGTTTAAAGACAATACAAAGTTTTATATAAATTTGTCCTAATTCAAAAATTATTTCCACCTAATATTGAGAGAAACATACTCTCATGTAGACAAGTCCTAGGGTTAAGTATGATTATTGATAGAAACAAGGAATAGTCAAGAAAAGGGATGTAGTAAAAGAATTGGTCAAGTCATAGTCACTGAATTCATTTCATACCCAATGGAATTAAGAAAAGGGTTCAGATATGAAGAAACAGGTCCATAGTGTTGGCACTGTCTAATAAATGCGAATGACATTGAGAATTAAACATAGGGTGTGTTTGTGTGTGTGTAGTTTTACTCAGTAACAACTTGAAGCAATTGTTATAAATGCTCTTCTGTTTTGTAGACAGAGTATAATCATCATTTTTTTTTTCAACCGTGGTGTTTTGTACTGGAAAAAGGTGTATAATCATATACAAGGCAAAAAAGACTTTATATAAAGGACTTAAATTAAAGTTGTAGGTGTAGTTATTATGCTTTAAATGTTTATATTATAATACAAGATAAAATAAATTTAAATCATGCATGTTATAACTTATTTTTATAAATTAATTGAGAATTTTATTAAAATAAATTTAAATAAATATTATAAATAAATATTTTTGATAAAATTTTCAAACAGAATTGCAAAACTCATATTGATTAATAACCTTAAATAAATTAATCCAAACTCCTTCTAATACTAAGATACTTAAATTAAAAGTTGAAATAGTTAAAGACTTAATAAGAGATGACAAAAATTAAACTAGTAGCAAAATTTGGTATCTTTGACTCATATCGATGATATTAAAGATAAGTTTCATGTTTTTTATTCTTTAAATTTTCAATACTAATACTATTTCAACTTGTCTGTATTAACATTATAATATTTTTTATATAGATATCTAATCTGATATAACTATTTAAATATATTATAATATCATTTTCCAAACACGTAAAACTACATAAATCCAATTTAATTTTCATCTTATATAGTGCAAACTAACACCAAATATATGTTTGACCAAAACTGTACCATCATTATTGATTAAAAGAAGATCATGATAAACTGTTTGCTAATAGTGATTTCTTTTCATCTTCACTTATTTGTCCTCTCTGTATAGAGACACTAAAATCACAATAGTAAAATATTGGTCAGCTACTTCATAACTTCATGTTGACATCATATATATAATTTTCTGTCTAATATTTTGTAATAATAATAATAATATAAAATGAAAAAATAAAAATAAAAATAAAAACCGACTCGAGCTTTGACTGATGAACATTATCCTTTGAGTGTCCATGAAAAATGAAGATTGCAGTTTCAGTTGTTTTCTCCAGCTTGTAATGTCAAAACTCCTTAAAACAGAAAGAAAAATAAAATACCATAAATAAAATTCTTGACTATATATATACAGACAAATAAAAATAGTTGATTTAAAATATTTTAAATATTCATTCTACTCGAAAAATAAAATTAGCAATCAAAATGAAACATTTTTCTAATTTTTTTCATCGCAAAGTTTAGTGATAGAATTAAAGAGATTTCATAGACTAATCTTATGCACCAACATGGTTTTAAATTATGGTTCAGTCTGCATGCGCATTGCAAGTATTGTGACAAGAATTTTGATTGAGAAAAAATTTTAAAATAACAATTGAAGAATACTTAATGCTTATATTTTTCAAATGTAAAAATAGATTTGGATTCAAAATTTTGAGTTTTTGATAAAAATATTTAAAGAAATTTGAGCTAAGCGGTTTTTAAGGTAGAAGAATAGGTGATTTTGTATTATAACTGCGGTCTAATGCAGTTTCAGGGACTAGTGCATGAACAATATTGTGGGTACAATTGCGCTTTCGAACCATAATTTAAAATGATGTACACTGGATTATATAGGATTTAATTAAAAAACCATTTCTTAAATTAATTGATTAATTAAGTACAAAACATGTAAAGCATTAAAGAATTCTAACTGAAATGATTGCAAATTTTCAAATGCAATTATGTAATTCAGTGATGATAGATGACAGACTTTAAATTAAATGAAAAACATTAAATTATTATTACCTATAGCATTAAGAAACCCTAGGAGCGGTTAACAGTACGGCGGTCATCACCACCACCACCGGCGGCACTGTGATGTTGAAGCTGATTGATCTGCCCTAAGCTAGCAGATATATTCATAGCCAAAAGACTAGCATCATAGTTGTTTCCAATTCCAGCATCAAAGTTTCTAACCACCAAATTATGCTGTTGATGTTGATCTCTAGGAAAAAAGTGATGGTGTTGAAGATGATAATGATGGTTATTATCACAGGTGATACCGTTATTGTTATTACCACCACCACTAGCAGTGTTGTTCTGTGTATGGTGGTGGTAATTAGTCGCAGCGGCCGTAACAGATTCACTAGTTAAGAGACCTGTATTGGCCGCTGCGATGCTTAAACTCTGGTAACGAGAGAGTTCTGATTTCGCGCAATAAAGATCCATCTGAAGCTGCCGAAGTTGGTGTTGAAGGAGAGAAATTACACCTACGCAACCGTAAACAGGATCACGAAGTCGCATTTCAGCTTCATAAGCAAGAGAATTAACAGCGTCTTCACGTTGGTGAGGGTGTAAATCATTGAGAAGCTTTGTAACATTACTTGCCCCAAAAATTCTATGAACATTCGCAAATTTTTGTGGCTGATCAGGTGGGAAATAAGGTGCAAATGCACATTCTGGTTGGCATTTGCGGCGTAGAAACTTGCATGCTGCACATGGTGAATTTGAAGATGCCATGGTAGTTTATTTGTTCTAGACTCTCACACTCACACTCACACACACACTTTTTTTTCTCCTTCTTTTCTTACTTTTATTTCTCTCTCTCTTTCTTTCACACTACCATTAATTTCTGTGATGCATTCACCATGTTTTTGTTTGTTATTACTATGATGTGAAATAATAAAATAATTGTAATAAAATATTATTATAAAAGGAAATCATAACTCATCAGTTTATGCGTGTTGGATGGCTAAATCTTTTATTTTACGGTCTTTTTGGTAAATTCATTATTTTAAACAACACACTCTTTTCCTTTCTTTAGATTTTTATTACGTATTATTTTGCAATCTATAACTACAACAACTATCTTTAAAAAAATTACAAATATAACAAAATTTGTGTTCCTTCTACATCAAACAGCTAACTTGAGAGTTTACATTCTTCTATAAATAATTTATTAATAGTGAAATTTTTTTAATAGTTTAGTGACTAAACTTTTTCTTATAAAATTAAATAAATAAGATGCCGAAGATTAAAACCTACGCATATTATACAAACAAATGTCTCTAAGGGGTATTTGATTAGGAAGAGAAGTTGTGAAGACAAAAATAGATAAGAGAGTGTAAGAAAAGAAAAAAAATGAGAAATAAAGTAGATTTGAAGTATTGTTTGGTTTAAGAAAAAGAGAGACGAAATAAAGAAGAGAGAAGTGTTGCATCACTAGTGCGGGAAAGACTTTTTATATCAGACAAAAAATATATTTTACATTGGGTCTAGGTGCGATGTAAATTCAAACGATTTAGTAAATCAAATATATTTTACATCGGGCAACAGTTTCGATGTGAAAAATCCACCTACCACATCGGTTGGATGTTAGGTCTGATGTGAAAAAAAATACAATTAAAAAAAATGCAATATTTTACATTGGTTGCCTAAGTGGCCCGATGTAATATATGAGTTTTAACATCGGTTTCCTCAATGGCCCGATGTAATAGATAGGTTTTAACATTGGTTGCCTCAATGACCCGATGTAATATATTTGTTTTTTTAGCGGAATCGAGGTGGATTCTCTGTAATTTTTTTTTGGTACTTAATTTTTCATATTTTTCCAACATCACACATACCACATTTAGGTCGCTATTTTCATATTTTTACCACATCACACAGACCACATTTAGGTCGCTATTTTCATATTTTTCTAATCAGTAAAAGGTAATTTCATTGCACCAAATAGCTAGGATGCACATATATATTCTTCAAAATGAACAATTGATTTATAAAAGTATTAATCTAGGATACACACAAGCGTACAAAATTATAAGGAAGATTATATACGGTGGACTACTACAACAATAAAGTCAATGGAATTATACAAAAATATCCAATCATTTATAAGTTCTTTTCTACACTTGAAATACTAACATGCAATCCACAAGAAGACGAGTTATAGCTTCAGTAGACAACACCAAAATCACATTTGCTGACAATAAATAATAACACCAATTAACATCAACAGACAACACTAAAATTAAAAAACTCGAATTATATATATATATATATATATATATATATATATATATATATATATATATATATATATATATATATATATATATATATATATATATATATATATATATATATATATATATATATATATATATATATATATATATATATATATATATATATATATATATATATATATATATATATATATATATATATATATATATATATATATATATATATATATATATATATATATATATATATATATATATATATATATATATATATATATATATATAACTCATCAGATAAAGCTTATTTTTTATATAACTCAAAGAAATATTTTGTCCAACAGAGTCGCAAATCATCTTGTATTAATTCTATTGGCTCATCAAATACCCACGATACATAAATAACAATATAGAGTTATTCTTTGAAAATTCACATTACGTTGCAAAACGCAAAGTAAATAACAAAGTAAAGTTTTTTTTATTACCTGCATCCAAGACTCGGTTATATTGGGAGAGACAATATCCAACATATTTTTCATCACATAGTACCTAGAATCATTAGAGTTATGTTCTAGTCTTGTCTACAAATGAATGACATAATTAGTGAATACTTATCATAAAATTAAATATAAAATTATAATTTACATCATGCTTACATTGGGATGAAGCCATGTAGCCTTTTTTCTATTTTCATTTTTCATTTGATGAACCCCAAAAACACTAATTGAGAAAAAAATCCATATAAAACCACATAAAATATAAAATTACTTTTCTTACAATTTATGTATATAGGATATATAATATATTATATCAAAGGTCACATAAAAGACAAACTTACTTTGTAACAATTTTCTTTGTGATTTGATCAATTTCCCGATGAAGGGAATAAAAGACGACCATAATATTGTCTCTTGGACAAATGGCTATTGATTGCAAATGAGATCTATACGTCTGTGTGGAAACACAAAAGTCATATAAAATATCTATGTTATCAAAATTAAAAAATAGAAAACACAATTTCATAAAAACTTACCCATGAACTAATGGTAGTAAGTGCTTTGTTTATGGTGTTTTCTAACACAACGAACACGGCCGTCATGCTCAAATGTTCCAATGGTTGCTGTTAAGATATTGTTACGGCCATAAAAAACAAAGGTACCTTTTTCAACTTCTTCAACTAGATAATCCTGCAAAATGCAATAACCATAACTAATTTCAATAATTTTTATCAATCACAAATATAATGATACTTGAAGTATTTTCCAAATTTTACTTACAATTTTCTCAGCAACAACTTGTGTAGACTTTGATGTGTATTATCCCCCCTTTCTTTTGTCGTGCTCTCTTCCATAACTCATGGCGTGAGGGTGGACATGGACTACCAGTATCATCTAATGTGGAATCATTTGTCGATGATCTTCTTTCATTCATAATTCTCTCCTCATGCAATCGATACGTTCCACGAGATAATACGTGTGGGTATACATTCTTAGCCATATTTTCATACCCTTTCGACTTTTTTCCTATTATAAACTCAAAAAGTTATTAATCACTAAACATAATGCACACAAAAAAAACTCCTACTAACCTTAAATTCAGGGGTATCTCGAGTCTTGAGAAACTTTTTCCATGTTTCTTCTTTAATGTAACTGTACTTGATATGTGCAAGAGGGAGATCTTTTTGGGGTTTTTAATATATTAGCATGTGAGTTATTTCTTAAAACCTCTTCATCGCTCTCCCGCATATTTAATTCATTCTTTCTTCAACGGATCTTTCTTTTGATCTTTACATTCTGGAATAGTGAAATGAGCCTACACATATAGTATAGGGCATATGTTGTTAATTAGTATATGATTATAAAATATAATAAAGTGTTCAATTTAAAATACCTTAACATCAACCCAAATAGTTTCTTTTATGCCGTTATCTACGTCTTGCCACTCATTTTTCAAAATGGTATTGTTTTATCGAGCAAGAGATGCTATATAACTCTTAAAATTTGTAGCATTTTTACCCACACTAGTACATTCATAGGTTCTTGGATCAAACTCGACCTTTATCTTTTCACCCATTTGATGAACTTTGTCAATTTTTTTCATCAAAGTGGGACCTCTAACTCTTATTTTCTTAGGGTAACTAGATGAAGAAGGATTGTCGGTTGAATCACCCATGTATTTGTTTACACAAAATAAAAATAATTAGAAATCAAATTATGCAAAAAAATTAAAACAATTAGACATCAAATTAAGCACAAAATAAAAACAATTAGAAATCAAAGTAATGTCAAATTAACTTATAAAAAAACCTTACTAGTCCTCCCATATCACTACTTCATGATCTATGCGAACAACATGCACATCATCCTCTTCATTTTCTTCAATGAAGGTAGGCACATTTGTTGAGAAAGGAAGAGTTTCGGAAATATCAAGATTCACATCTTGATTTTCATCACTATCATGCACCTTTTCTTGTAAAACCACTGACCACCTTTTATTAGAAGGATCTGTGACATAAAACACTTGTTTTTCTTGAGATGCCATAATGAAAGGTTCATTCGCATAAGCTAACTTGCTTAGATCAACCAGCGTAACTCCAAATTCATCGATTCTTACACCATTGTTGATATCAATCCATTTTCATTTAAATACAGTAACTTTAAATACAACATAATTAACTTCCCAAATCTCTTCAATAACCCCAAAGTAGGGTGTAAATGCAATAATCGGGTTTTTATCTTTAGCACTAGATAAGTGAATAGACTCGGCCATATTCATAACCCCACTACGGTCATCCTTTGACTTTGTATAAAAGCAATTTTTATTAATATCATATCCACTCCAAGTTATTATGTTACATTTATGCTCATAGGACAACCACTTAATTGTATTAGAAGCACTATCATCATTGGCGATTTTTTCTTTAAACCACTCAGAGAAACTCTTATTATGCTCTTTTAACAATCCTCTTTTATTTATCTTGGGGTACTTTTTCTTCATGATGCTTTTGTGAGAAGATAAGTAAGGTTGAATTTCATTCATGTTATTCAATATATACAAATGCTCTTGAACAACCACATCAATACTTAAGCTTTTGACCTTTAAACCTTGTGTACCCACACCCTCACATCTTCCATCATAGCGAGACTTGGGAACCCCTACAACATCCTCTTCTGATAAATAATTAGAACAAAACTCAATTGCTTCTTCTGCAATGTACCTCTCAATAATCGATGCTTCTGGACGGTGTGGGATTTTTGTATACCATTTTAGGATCTTCATGTATCGCTCTATTGGATACATCCACCGTAAAAAAATTGGAGCACATAATCTAATATTCCTTACTAGATGAACAATCAAGTGAACCATAATGTCAAAAAATGGAGGAAAATACATCTCTAATTGACACAAGAAAATTGCAGCCTCATTTTCTAAATCGTCTAACTTTAATGGATCAATGGCTTTAAAAAAAATTGCATTGAAAAATAAGCACAACCT